CCCCCCCCCCCCCCCAACACACTTACACACACACACACACACACACACACACACACACACACACACACACACACACACACACATACTCACTCACACACACACACTCACACACACACACACTTACACACACTTACACACACACACACACACACTCACTCACACACACACACACTCACACATACACGCACACACACTTACACACACACACACACACACACACACACACACACACACACACACACACACACACACAGAGAACATTTCAGAGTTACATCCTCCTTTTGATGGGACTCATTAGTCCTGTGTCTTAAGTCTGTCACCCACCTCTTTGCTGGCATTTGTCAATGGCCAGTAAGTAGGTCTGACTATTGCTGGATTGTCATGGAGAGGTGGGTGAGTCTTATTGCGTGCTTACAGTCAGGGACAAAGTCTTACTTGTTTTTTTACTTTTGATGCTCTGTGGAAGTGTTCACTTTTCCCACAGTCTACGTAATGAGTCCCAAGTGGTGCACAACCCAGCCAATACAACAAACAGGAAGAACATGCTACTGTTAGTGCGTGTTTTCAGAAACAATAAATGTTCTTGCTTTTAAAGATTTCCAACGAAAAGCTGAAGGCCTAAAGAGAAAGGGAGAAGTCTCAAAGAGCTGATTTAAATACACCAAAGAACGGAGAGGATAGAGCCTCTGTTTTCTTTACTTATTAAAACCCCACAAAGTGTATCATATTCCCTGAACACTTGTACGCTGGTGTGTGGTACAGATGGCCTTAGTCAAAGTCGGTATCATCACGTGCTTAGACTGAGATGTTTGGAAAGTCTTTTTGGTTTAAATTCTGTCTGGTTAGATCCCTTCAGAGATAAAAAGTTTGGCAGCCATCTTCTCGCTAAACTTTCTTGTAAGAGCTGGCGACCCGCACCTCCTTCAGTCACAAATCTCTTGACTTTTAAGCAGTGGAGATGAATATTTTTTTAAATCAAAAGAAAGGCAAATGAACAGTCTTTAAGATTATACCTCTAGCTTCCTATTCTCAAAAGATGAGGAGCGCCTGATATCATGGGGTCAGGACACAAATAGTTTAACCTACAGGACGTCAATTTTAATCAAGAGAAAGGATGAAAAAAAAGTCCCTGTAAGACAGGTAGAGGTCAAAAGGTGAGTAGATGTCAGTAAAGATGGTTTTGATGTTTTGGCAAATTTTCACTTTCTCATCATTGTGATGCATTACTTAGATACATATATGGACATGGAGGGTGTTTTATGGGTGTGTGGTCGGTGCTCTGGTGTGGTTTGCTCCTTGTTTCCTATCAAACATCCATCGTCCTTATTGTTCCTCCTTTTTGTGTATGTTACTCTCTTGTAACACCTGTAATCGTTGACACATCTATGGCCTAATTGTGTTGAAAGTACTGTAAAACTCTGACTAAAGCTAAACTCAAAAACGGAGGATGTGGGGCTTGGTGTAACAAGGAGCTAGGAGATACTGAATAAAAGAGTATTATAGAGAAGATAGGGAAAAGTTCAGCTAGTAACTTTTCATACACGTCTCCCTTCTCATCAATATCTGATTTTGGCAGGAAGTGAAAATCTTTCTTCGTTCGCACATCTGACCTGGTTTCACTTGCTTCTCCGTTCTACCCAAGTTCAGGTTGCCATGAACTGCTGATGTAGTCACCTCTGTCTCTAAAATTCACCGATGATGTCACTTTTTGAAACACATGAGTCAATATAGCTCATGATGGTACGAATCATCTGTTGAATCTAGTGCCATATCAGCTGCTGCAAATGCATCTATGAAACGAGCTGGGGGCTTTTGTTTATGCTCACCAGTGCTACATTCCATCACTTTATGCTCATTCACTGTTTCTCAGTCAAGAATAAAATACATTTCTATTATGCTCGATCTAATTTGGAATATAACGTCCGCTATATACATCTTCCTGCTTGCAAAGTTGGATGCAAAGTGGATGAACTACTGTATTTGCATAGGATAGGACCGCTGTAAAATAAAAATTATAGAAAATGAGTTCGCTGATACAAAATAAGACATGCTGTAAATTGATACCCCCATTGTGGCTTCCATTGTAAAGAGCAAAGAGCCTCTAGAACTCACTATGTTAACATTGCTCACACCAAATTAAAATATAGCATTACAAAAAAGAAACATGAAATTTAAAGAACAGACAGAAAAATACGACACCCACTCACCCACACGTATAGTAATTGATAATTTAAACACTGGAGTTAGTTGGACTGTCCATGTAGTTACAATACGCCTGGCTGTTTGTGAATGGTGAGAGTAACCAATTTTTGTCTAGTGTGTGTATACTATTTCTATTCTAATCTACTGTATTTTTTATTTTGTCTCCCACGCAGCACAATTTCACCCTGCCCCAGAAATGAGCTATAGACCCTACTGTGCCTTTGATAACAGTTGTAATGGAGATCCTCAGTGTCATCTCTATGCTAGAAGATACACATGTCAGTGTCCTGCTAACTATTACTATTTTGGCAGCAATCAGTGTAGGAGCAGTAAGTATGACTATCTAAGATTTCATTACATGTAGGAACAGTAAGTATGACTATCTAAGATTTCATTACATGTAGGAACAGTAAGTATGACTATCTAAGATTTCATTACATGTAAGAACAGTAAATATGACTGTCTAAGATTTCATTACATGTAAGAACAGTAAGTATGACTACGATTCTATTAGATGTAGTGGTGTTTGTGTTGTGTGTGTCATCTTCTGTTCCGGGAAAGTAATGTTAGCTTTCAGAGAGATTTGGACGGACCTGATTAACTTCCATGCCACGTAGTTCTACGTCAGGTTTCTATTACTTTTGAGGACATCTGCTAGATAAGCCATGGTGTGTCTGCTGCGGAGGTCAACAGGACTGCCTGCCCTACCCCTCCTCTCCCCCCCCCCACACCCGGCGATGTTGCTAAGGCTGAGTAAACCACCCACATATTTGTCTTGAGACGAGCACTTTCATTACCTGTATTACCTGTCCTGGGCAACAACGTCATTGTACACCGGACAGGTCCATAAGTGCTCAGTTCCCCCAAGCACCAAAGCCCGCAATGTATCCATACTGATTGTTCCGGTGGCTATCTGATTATGGCGACGTCTTCCCTTTCCAGATAATCGTTCCTTTCTTCCTTCCGACCGTTGCTGATTAGCCACCGAGAGGTGGGTGAGTCTTGGCGCGTGCTTACAGTCAGGGACAAAGTCTTACTTGGTGTTGTTTTTTTACTTTTGATGCTGTGTGGAAGGGTTCACTTTTCCCACAGTCTACGTAATGAGTCCCAAGTGGTGCACAACCCAGCCAATACAATAAACAGGAAGAACATGCTACTGTTAGTGCGTGTTTTCAGAAACAATAAATGTTCTTGCTTTTAAAGATTTCCAACGAAAAGCTGAAGGCCTAAAGAGAAAGGGAGAAGTCTCAAAGAGCTGATTTAAACACATCAAAGAACGGAGAGGATAGAGCCTCTGTTTTCTTTACTTATTAAAACCCCACAAAGTGTATCGTATTCCCTGAACACTTGTACGCTGGTGTGTGATACAGATGGCCCTAGTCAAAGTCGGTATCATCACGTGCTTAGACTGAGATGTTTGGAAAGTCTTTTTGGTTTAAATTCTGTCTGGTTAGATCCCTTCAGAGGTAAACAGTTTGGCAGCCATCTTCTCGCTAAACTTTCTTGTAAGAGCTGGCGACCCGCACCTCCTTCAGTCACAAATCTCTTGACTTTTAAGCAGTGGAGATGAATATTTTTTTTAATCAAAAGAAAGGTAAATGAAGAGGCTTTGAGATTATACCTCCAGCTTCCTATTCTCAAAAGCTGAGGAGCGCCTGATATCATGGGGTCATGACACAAATAGTTAAACCTACAAGAGGTCAATTTTAAACAAAAGAAAGGATGAAAAAAAGTCCCTGTGAGACAGGTAGAGGTCAAACGGTGAGTAGATGTAAGTAAAGATGGTTTTAATGCTTTGGCCAGTTTCCACTTTCTCATCATTTTGATGCATTACTTAGATACATACATGGACATGGAGGGTGTTTTATGGGTGTGTGGTCGGTGCTCTGGTGTGGTTTGCTCCTTGTTTCCTATCAAACAATCATCGTCCTTATTGTTCCTCCTTTTTGTGTATGTTACTCTCTTGTAACACCTGTAATCGTTGACACATCTATGGCCTAATTGTGTTGAAAGTACTGTAAAACTCTAACTAAAGCTAAACTCAAAAACGGAGGATGTGGGGCTTGGTGTGACAAGGAGCTAGGAGATACTGAATAAAAGAGTATTATAGAGAAGATAGGGAAGAGTTCAGCTAGTAACTTTTCATACACGTCTCCCTTCTCATCAATATCTGATTTTGGTAGGAAGTGAAAATCATTCTTTGTCCGCACATCTGACCTGGTTTCATTTGCTTTTCCGTTCTACCCAAGTTCAGGGTGCCATGAACTGCTGATGTAGTCACCTCTGTCTCTTAAATTCACCGATGATGTCACTTTTTGAAATACATGAGTCAATCTAGCTCATGATGGTACGCATCATCTGTTGAATCTAGTGCCATATCAGCTGCTGCAAATGCATCTATGAAAGGAGCTGGGGGCTTTTGTTTATTCTCACCAGTGCTACATTCCATCACTTTATGCTCATTCACTGTTTCTCAGTCAAGAATAAAATACTTTTCTATTATGCTCGATCTAATTTGGAATATAACGTCCGCTATATACATCTTCCTGCTTGCAAAGTTGGATGCAAAGTGGATGAACTACTGTATTTGCATAGGATAGGACCGCTGTAAAATAAAAATTATAGAAAATGAGTTCGCTGATACAAAATAAGACATGCTGTAAATTGACACCCCCATTGTGGCTTCCATTGTAAAGAGCAAAGAGCCTCTAGAACTCACTATGTTAACATTGCTCACACCAAATTAAAATATAGCATTACAAAAAAGAAACATGAAATCTACAGAACAGACAGAAAAACACAACACCCACACACCCACACATACAGTAATGGATAATTTAAACACTGGAGTTAGTTGGACTGTCCATGTAGTTACAATACGCCAGGCTGTTTGTGAATGGTGAATGTAGTCAATTTTTGTCTAGTGTGTGTGTAATCTTTCTATTTTTATCTACTGTATTTTTTATTTTGTCCCCCACGCAACACCATTTCACCCTGCCCCAGAAATCAACTATGGAGGTGGCTGTACCGTTGTTGACAGTTGTAATGGAAATCTTCAGTGTTTGACCTCTGGTGGAGAAAAGAAGTGTCTGTGTCCAGCTAGCCAGTACCATTTTGGCAACAATCAGTGTAAGAACAGTAAGTATGACTATCTAAGATTTCATTACATGTAGGAACAGTAAGTATGACTGTCTAAGATTTCATTACATGTAGGAACAGTAATTATGACTATCTAAGATTTCATTACATGTAGGAACAGTAAGTATGACTGTCTAAGATTTCATTACATGTAGGATCAGTAAGTATGACTACGATTTTATTAGATGTAGTGGTGTCTGTGTTGTATGTGTCATCTTCTGTTAGCTTTCAGAGAGATTTGGACGGACCTGATTAACTTCCATGCCACGTAGTTCTACGTCAGGTTTCTATTAGTTTTGAGGACATCTGCTAGATAAGCCAAGGGCAGTCTGCTGTGGAGGTCAACAGGACTCCATGCCTTCCCCCCCCCCCCCCACTCTCGGCGACGTTGCTAAGGCTGAGTAAATCTCCCACATATTTGTCTTGGGACGAGCACTTTCATTACCTGTATTACCTGTCCTGAGCAACAACGTCATTGCACACCGGACAGGTCCATAAGTGCTCAGTTCCCCCAAGCACCAAAGCCCGCAATGTATCCATACTGGTTGTTCCGGTGGCTATCTGATTATGGCGACGTCTTCCCTTTCCAGATAATCGTTCCTTTCTTCCTTCCGACCGTTGCTGATTAGCCACCGAGAGGTGGGTGAGTCTTGGCGCGTGCTTACAGTCAGGGACAAAGTCTTACTTGTTGTTGTTTTTTTTACTTTTGATGCTGTGTGGAAGGGTTCACTTTTCCCACAGTCTACGTAATGAGTCCCAAGTGGTGCACAACCCAGCCAATACAATAAACAGGAAGAACATGTTACTGTTAGTGCGTGTTTTCAGAAACAATAAATGTTCTTGTTTTTAAAGATTTCCAATGAAAAGCCGAAGGCCTAAAGAGAAAGGGAGAAGTCTCAAAGAGCTGATTTAAACACATCAAAGAACGGAGAGGATAGAGCCTCTGTTTTCTTTACTTATTAAAACCCCACGAAGTGTATCGTATTCCCTGAACACTTGTACGCTGGTGTGTGATACAGATGGCCCTAGTCAAAGTTGGTATCATCACGTGCTTAGACCGAGATGTCTGGAAAGTCTTTTTGGTTTTTGTTCTGTCTGGTTAGACCCCTTCAGAGATAAACAGTTTGGAAGCCATCTTCTCGTTAAACTTTCTTGTAAGAGCTGGCGACCCGCACCTCCTTCAGTCACAAACCTCTTGACTTTTAAGCAGTGGAGATGAATATTTTTTTAAATCAAAAGAAAGGCAAATGAACAGTCTTTAAGATTATACCTCTAGCTTCCTATTCTCAAAAGATGAGGAGCGCCTGATATCATGGGGTCAGGACACAAATAGTTTAACCTACAGGACGTCAATTTTAACCAAGAGAAAGGATGAAAAAAAAGTCCCTGTAAGACAGGTAGAGGTCAGAATGGGAGTAGATGTCAGTAAAACTGGTTTTGATGTTTTGGCAAGTTTCCACTTTCTCATCATTGTGATGCATTACTTAGATACATACATGGACGTGGAGGGTGTTTTAGGGGTGTGTGGTCGGTGCTCTGGTGTGGTTTGCTCCTTGTTTCCTATCAAACATCCATCGTCCTTATTGTTCCTCCTTTTTGTGTATGTTACTCTCTTGTAACACCTGTAATCGTTGACACATCTATGGCCTAATTGTGTTGAAAGTCCTGTAAAACTCTCACTTAAGCTAAACTAAAAAACAGAGGATGTTGGGCCTGGCGTAACAAGGCGCTAGGAGATACTGAATAAAAGAGTATTATAGAGAAGATAGGGAAGAGTTCGGTTAGTCACTTTTCATACACGTCTCCCTTCTCATCAATATCTGATTTAGGTAGGAATGGAAAATCATTCTGAGTTATTGCTACAATGTTTTTAAAAATCTATTTTCGTCCGCACATCTGACCTGGTTTCACTTGCTTCTCCGTTCTACCCAAGTTCAGGTTGCCATGAACTGCTGATGTAGTCACCTCTGTCTCTTAAATTCATCGATGCTGTCACTTTCAGAAACACCTGAGTCAATCTAGCTCATGATGGTAGGCATCATCTGATGAATCTAGTGCCTTATCAGCTGCTGCAAATGCATCTATGAAACGAGCTGGTTTTTTAAATTTATTCTCACCAGTGCTACATTCCATCACTTTATGCTCATTCACTGTTTCTCAGTCAAGAATAAAATACTTTTCTATTATGCTCGATCTAATTTGGAATACAACGTCCGCTATATACATCTTCCTGCTTGCAAAGTTGGATATAAAGTGGATGAACTACTGTATTTGCATAGGATAGGACCGCTGTAAAATAAAAATTATAGAAAATGAGTTCGCTGATACAAATAAGACATGCTGTAAATTGACACCCCCATTGTGGCTTCCATTGTAAAGAGCAAAGAGCCTCTAGAACTCACTATGTTAACATTGCTCACACCAAATTAAAATATAGCATTACAAAAAGGAACATCAAATCTACAGAACAGACAGAAAAATACGACACCCACACACCCACACGTACAGTAATGGATAATTTAAACACTGGAGTTAGTTGGACTGTCCATGTAATTACAATAAGCCTGGCTGTTTGTGAATGGTGACTATAACCAATTTTGTCTAGTGTGTGTATAATCTTTCTATTCTTATCTACTGTATTTTTGATTTTGTCTCCCACGCAACACCATTTCACCCTGCCCCAGAAATCAACTATGGAGGTGGCTGTACCGTTGCTGACAGTTGTAATGATGATCTTCAGTGTTTGACCTCTGGTGGAGAAAAGAAGTGTCTGTGTCCAGCTAGCCAGTACTATTTTGGCAGCAATCAGTGTAGGAACAGTAAGTATGACTATCTAAGATTTCATTACATGTAAGAACAGTAAGTATGACTATCTAAGATTTCATTACATGTAGGAACAGTAAGTATGACTATCTAAGATTTCATTACAATTAGGAACAGTAAGTATGGCTGTCTAAGATTTCATTACATGTAAGAACAGTAAGTATGACTATCTAAGATTTCATTACATGTAGGGACAGTAAGTATGACTACGATTCTATTAGATGTAGCGGTGTTTGTGTTGTATGTGTCATCTTCTGTTCCGCGAAAGTAATGTTAGCTTTCAGAGATATTTGGATGGACCTGATTAACTTCAATGCCACGTAGTTCTACATCAGGTTTCTATTAGTTTTGAGGACGACTGCTAGATAAGCCAAGGTGTGTCAGCTTTGGAGGTCAACAGGACTTTCTTGCCCTACCCCTCCCCTCCCCACTCTCGGCGATGTTGCTAAGGCTGAGTAAATCTCCCACATATTTGTCTTGGGACGAGCACTTTCATTACCTGTATTACCTGTCCTGGGCAACACGTCATTGCACACCGGTCAGGTCCATAAGTACTCTGTTTCCCCCAGCACCAAAGCCTGCAATGTATGTATACTGGTTGTTCTGGTGGCTATCTGATTATGGCGACGTCTTTCCTTTCCAGATAATCGTTACTTTCTTCCTTCCGACCGTTGCTGATTAGCCACCGAGAGGTGGGTGAGTCTTGGTGCGTGCTTACAGTCAGGAACAAAGTCTTACTTGTTTTTTTTAAAAACTTTTGATGCTCTGTGGAAGTGTTCACTTTTCCCACAGTCTACGTAATGAGTCCCAAGTGGTGCACGACCTTGTCAATACAATAAACAGGAAGAACATGCTACTGTTAGTGCGTGTTTTCAGAAACAATAAATGTTCTTGCTTTTAAAGATTTCCAATGAAAATCTGAAGGCCTAAAGAGAAAGGGAGAGGTCTCGGAGAACTGATTTAAAAACATCAAAGAACGGAGAGGATAGAGCTTCTGTTTTCTTTACTTATTAAAACCCCACAAAGTGTATCGTATTCCCTGAACACTTGTACGCTGGTGTGTGATACAGATGGCCCTAGTCAAAGTTGGTATCATCACGTGCTTAGACTGAGATGTTTGGAAAGTCTTTTTGGTTTTTTTTCTGTCTGGTTAGATCCCTTCAGAGATAAAATGTTTGGCAGCCATCTTCTCGCTAAACTTTCTTGTAAGAGCTGGCGACCCGCACCTCCTTCAGTCACAAACCTCTTGACTTTCAAGAGGTGGAGATGAGTATTTTGTTTAATCAAAAGAAAGGCAAATGAATTGGCTTTGAGATTATACCTCTAGCTTCCTATTCTCAAAAGCTGAGGAGCACCTGCTATCATGGGGTCATGACACAAATAGTTAAACGTACAGGAGGTCAATTTTAACCAAAAGAAAGGATGAAAAAAAGTCCCTGTGAGACAAGTAGAGGTCAAAAGGTGAGTAGATGTAAGTATAGGTGGTTTTGATGTTTTGGCCAGTTTCCACTTTCTCATCATTGTGATGCATTACTTAGATACATATATGGACATGGAGGGTGTTTTATGGGTGTGTGGCCGGTGCTCTGGTGTGGTTTGCTCCTTGTTTCCTTTCAAAAATCCATCGTTCTTATTGTTCCTCCTGTTGTGTGTACGTTACTCTCTTGTAACGTCTGTAATCGTTGACACATCTATGGCCTAATTGTGTTGAAAGTACTGTAAAACTCTCACTTAAGCTAAACTAAAAAATGGAGGATGTGGGGCTTGGTGTAACAAGGAGCTAGGAGATACTGAATAAAAGAGTATTATAGAGATGGTAAGGAAGAGCTGTGTAAAACTGCCTGTCTTTTGATAGTTTATTAAAGGGAAATGGGCCTTTTAAAAATCTGATAATAGTAGAAATATACAATGAACACACTAGATATTTTCCCCCCAAAAGAATGTTATTGGTTCATTTTTGTGACAATTTCACAGACATATCAAGTGTTTATTGTCCTTGTTTTGGTTTCCTCCAGAAATCAGCTATGATGGACAGTGTACATCGGGGTCTCCAGGGTCTGAGAACCAATGTGCTGGAGATCTTTTATGTGATGTCAACTCCAGGTGCAAGTGTTCTAACACGGAGTACTACACTGGCAACCACATGTGTGGCACAAGTAAGTAGGATACGGTGGGGGAGATGGG